AAAGACCCAGGTCTTTGGTGTCTGATTTAGCAAACGAGAATATTCTAGCAGGATAAAGACTACTCAGCACCTCTTGTAATTTTTACGGTTGAAACCCTGTTTTTGCTTTCACTGGACGAGTCAATGCTGGGTCAAGGAGCACGCAATCTGCATTACATGATACTCACACACAACCTAGCGTCTCATTTTTGAAATTCCACTGCAAAATCCAAGCAGAAATACCAACAGTCAATGAACTTCACATGCTTTAAGCAAAAATCTACATGCATTCAAAAAAACGCTTCCTTATCAGCATTTCAAACCCATTTCTACTACTTAGTAGAAGGTGCAGCCTTACCACTTGGGGGGCTGCAAATCCGACAGTGGCCACATGGTCTCCGTTCCTCAGCCTGCTAACAGCTTGTAGGGCTCAAGCTCTGGGGCCATGATGACATTTTGGTCCAGGACTTTCCAGTGACTTTAGCAATTTCACTGGGGATTATTCCAGCTCTGAGTCCTCACTGCTGTAGGAAGCGCCACAGGTCTTTATAGCTCCAGACAAACAAGAAGCTCCATGCAGGGCACTCTCTTACAGAATGCAGATCCAAAGGTTTTGGCCATGGCAAATAAACAAGAACAACTGCCAAAGGGCAGACCAGAAGTACAATGTTTACAGCATCTTGCTCTTCTAATATTGCTTTTAATAATTAAAATTTGTCTATGGGTTAATATTTTATTTCTTTCTYATTTAAACTGTAATCAACCCAATGTAGCTCCATTGGCTTCATTAATTGGAATTAATTCCATTGGCTGGAATTAGTCCAGTTTGCATCATTCAGACTACGAGTGAAATTGGATCTTATCTGATCATATACAGTCAAGGCAAAGCCTGTAGTTAGGGTCATACGGTGATTTCTGTTTGCTGATAACTTTTCCATTCTTCTCCCTTTTTATCTGAAAAGAAACAGGGTCGTCCTTGCTGCAGAAATAATTCCTTTATTAGGAATTTGTAAATGGTGGAGCTTTTACAGTCTGAGGATGAATGTCCTTCTCCTAGTAATATTTCTGACATTTTTGAGCAGCATCAATATGTCACTACTGGATTCCAGGGCTTTGAAATTTGGTAGGCAAACAATTTTTATCTYGCTCATTTGCCTTTCAACATTCTGATGACATTTAATCATTATTTGCAAGGTTATACAGGCTTACAAAATATGTTGGGTAGAAGAGGGCTCTCTTCCTGCTGCCTCTCTCAGGGTTTTTGCCTATGTCCCTTTGAACACAAATGTATACCTTGTTAAACTTCTTAAAATGTACTTATTACCCTGTCCCATACTGAAGTTGAGCATCACTTTATTAGATGGAGTAGAGGACATCTGCGGCTAAAATATTAGCTTTAATAGCCCAGTTCCTCAAAGTCATTTTGTCTCCAAATGCCAAATCCTAAGAGGCCCTGTATACATTCAGCTTCCTTTGCAATCAATAGGAGTTGCAAGTACTCAAGACAAATCAGTGTTTGTTCCTAAATTGACAAGACAAATTGCAGCGGAGAGGAAACGTCATCATTCTAGCTTACAGATGGGATAGAGACGTGAAGTGCCCAGCTCAAGGTCACACCAAAATCCTCGGACAGAAATGAGACCCARGATGAAGGCTCACGAGTCACCCCAGCCCTGGTAACCATAGCACAACTCATATCCACAACCAGACAAGCAGGAAATAGGAGCATAAAGAAATGTTCGACCTTTTCTCATCTTGCTCATGGAGTCTAGGGTCAAGGGGCTGTGCACCCAGATTCAGGCCATCGACAAAAAAATGATACTGGGTTTCAAGCAGCTTGACATTTTTCAGCTTGCTAAAACTTGAAGTTTCCCTCAGGTTGCCCTTGATTTACATCAGAAATGGATCTAATCATTTCCAAAATGTGCAATGTACTTTATCATACTGCTRTGTTGAAGAAGGGTCATTCCTGCACTGATTGCATTAGAGACACAAGGGTTTTTTTGTTGTTTCTCCTACTTCTTTTTAGGACACATCTGTTGTCTAAAATAAAATAGTTCTGCTTATATTAGCTGGCTTTGGATTCAACTCTTCCTTTCCAACACTTTTCCTTAAATGTTTTTGTGACCTGGCTGTTCACAATCCTGAGAATATTGTGAGAAATGTCATTTAGTATTTTTTGACTGTTTGGTCTGTATTTCTTTAAATAAAAAATTTGTTGGTAAATTTTCTCTAGGAAGTCAGATTGCAGATTTTTTTTTTTAAATTTGGTCTATAAGTCAGTAACTTTGGACATGCCTGAGGTTTTGTTTTACCTTTTTGGCTATTTTCCTCATGGATAAAGTATCTGTCTTGCCATTTTGCAGGTGGAGATTCAGTACTGGCTGCTGCTGGTGCCCAGTTCACTATAAAAATGAATATAATCATTAACATTTGRTTGGCAGCATATGTTGCTTGCTGCATGTTTATTAAGTTTTAGTTTGAAGTAGTTCAGTTTAACTGCAGTTATGACCTTTATCGGTTTCATTGTGGCTGCTACGCTGTGTGTTTTGCACTAACTAGAGGCTATTTATAGTTCTCATGAAATCCAAAATATTTTTCATCTGACTTTGAAACACCAGTGAAACCATGTGCTAATGCATGGAATTGTTTGTACAGCTTTTCTGGAAAGAGCTTTGTGTGTTAAGCTCTTAGGAGATTTACTTAATGAATGTATGTACTCATTTGCTTCTTTCTGACACATATTACTTTGATTATTCTGACGTCTATTACTGTGATTGCTGTATTCACTCTGCATGGCATCCACTGGGAGCCACTTGGGAATATTCTGCATTTTGAAAGAGAAAAAAAAAAATTGATTGCCTAATATATTTGAGAGATTGTAGCAGTCTGCTCCACTCCTTTTGCTGGTTTTACATTAATTCATCGATTGAAAGCGAGTTTATCTTATTCTCCTATTTTGTTCACAAAGCGGCTTCCGCGAGCTGGATAGCAATTTATCTGCATACCACAATAATGTAATGCATCTCCCGTGATAGCTGGAGCATTTTACAACTCAACTGTCCCTTGACAGCTCTGTGCGTTGACAGTTTCAGTAAATAGTCCCTCATGTAGTGTCTCACTAATGCCTCATCAGCTCGGTAGCTCTTGCATGTCCCATGGACTGGTAGATACCACAACTTTCTCTTGTCTATTAATAAGAAATGGCAAAACATTTCCTTTCTCAGAGCCACAGTCTTGTGTCCTCATTTTTCAAGTGGCCAATAATTTTGCATTTAGTTTGTGTTCACTGTTCTCAGAAAGCAAAGGTCTGCAGACAGCATCTAGACGATCACATGAACTTGAGAGAAGGGTGCACCAAAGTGAAGAGCACCATAATGAACTTCAATGGTAAAGTAATAATTTAAAATTTCTGGCTAAAACACCTTTTGTAGTAATGATATGAGATCTCACCGCATTAATCAGATACCTTATTTGTTGATTTAGTCCAGCTACCRGAAAAGGCAGATTCACAAACATCTYTCAGAGATTATTTTTAATAGTATTCTTTGTCCCTTTTGTCCAATTATTTGCTCTATAATCAAGTAAGGCTATGCTATAAAATTAGTTGACTGTGACTCAACCTCTCAACACAGCATACTTGGATTCACTGGGGCTACCTCATCAGCAGCTCTGTTCTTTTCTTAATGGGATAGACAAAAAAAAAAAAATCATGTAGCCATTTGTTTTGGTCTTTTATTAGATGTTAAGATTAGAGCTGGCAACAAAGACATAAACAGGATGAAATCTAATTAATTACTTGTTTCTGTTTTGCTAAGAGTAAAAGCAAAATGAAGAGGCTATTTATTTCCTACCCTAATGTGCTTGCAATTGATCTTTCAAGTGCTAAAATATGTGGAAATCTCATTTTCTGAATGCATAAAAAGTAGTATAAAAAATGAAGGCAAAAGAAAGCTGCTCTTGTACCTTAACTAGCCTGTAGACATCCACAAAATTAATTTTTCCTCTAATAAAAGTCTTATAAGTACACCTGATGGAGTTATGCAAGCACATCCCATAACATTCCTGAAGCTCCTGAGCTCCTTTTTTCTATAACACCTCCCGGAATTCTCACTCACAGCTGTTTAATATGGGAATCCTCCAGTTTCAAATGACTTCCAGCCCTTTGACTGGACCAGTTATTTCAATTCCTTATTGGAAATGCCTGAGGAGCCCCTCTGAACAGCTAGTTAGGCTGGAAAGGTGAGAGCAGCCTGGACCATTCCTGGTTTGGAGTATGGGATGTGTTTGCTGTATCCTCTAACAGCTGCACTTGGTCCTGTTAAAGCTGGACTCTGTGTGTGGTTTTACCTCGAAGCACAGGACAAAGGGAAACTGCCTGGGGCAATACACCCTGTAGGTCCTAAGGCTTACTATAGGCTTTATAGTTATATCTTTAAGACATCTTTGCAGATACTCTTAATCTTAACATGCCTTGGATGCAGAGGGCTGAAATTAAGCTCAGTACCTGTCCCTCCCATGCACTTGTGTGAGGGCATTAGGCATAAAGATACAAATGTACTTCGGGATTCATGGATTCAGGCTGCAGACTATGATCCTGCACGAGCTATATATCTCCCAAAGGCACTTTATGACTGTTTTCTCCTCTTGACATTATTGTTGCCTTGCAACACAAATAGCTTTGACATAAATCATAAATCTTCTACCCACCCTCATTCCTCCACTTCTTCTTCCTTTTTCATATTTCCCCAGTAATTGATATCCTAGTCTTCAAAATCACCCACAGTTATTCCTACTATTTCATGAAGTCCAATACCCCTTAACATTTCTCATTCTGGTGGTTACTCCTATCCTCCTTGCATGGGCGTGTAGACGCTCTCATTAATAYACCTCTGATGATATTCATCTGCTCTTTCAAAACAACTTCATCTCTTGTCTCCGGCCTGAGGTTGCTTCCAAAGAATGCCAAGCACCCTCCAATTTGCTGACAAGGACCAGGAGATGAGGGCAGCCAGACTGGGTTGATCCCCTCTTGCTCTGGGCCATGCTGGAGCCGGAGCTCTCACAAGGTCAAAGACCTGCATGTGACGGTGCCTTGTTAGTGCTTCAAAAGGCRGAAAGCAGCAGCAGTGATGCAGCATTTGCATGTGCAAAGGTCTGCTGGAAAGATGCCATCTTCTCAAGCTGCTTTTTTAATTTTATACCCCTTGAAGCAGGGAGCTTTATTCTGCCTTCTTTTAACCATGTATGCCAAGAAATCCCTCCTCAGGAGTTAAGCATAGACCTTCTGAAGACTATCCCAGCCTGAGATTTAAAACCTGCATCTGGTCAGCACATGGGGATAAGGTACGTGCCTGAAACCTCCCCATACGTTAATACTTACGTTGCTTTCAATGAGACTGGCCCTGAACGTAAAAGCAAAACACATGGCTGTCCTACATAAGGTAGTGCAGATGGCCACATGTGTACATAAGCCTGGGAAACATTGCTTTTGCCACTGCTGTTATTGTAGTTGCATGCAATTATCTCTAGCATTAGTGCGGTAGAAATGCCACAAGAAAAATGATGGAGGTCAAATAAAATACACAGCACAAATCCACCCATTACACTGGATTTCTGCCTCTGAATTGAATCACACTCACAGCTGCTGTAGTCTAACTTTGCACTGTGATCATCTGCATAATAGTCCATGGACCATGGGGCTTTCCAAAGCTACCCCTCCTTTAGCTTCAGCAGCTGCTGCTCATCCAGACACCAAGGGCGTTTCTGCCTTGCTGCTTTAAAAATTTAAGAACAATCTGAAAATTTCCTTGCCTACGGAGACAAAACTGGGAAAACCCCAAAGCACTAACTGATAGCCTGATAATCTGCTAATCACTTCAGACAGGAAGGATACTCTGTTTGGGGATGTGGGAGCCAAATCTATCTCCTCTGTCACAGACAAGTGCCCTCAGAACAGGGCTATCGATTACACCAGGGCAGAATATCTTTAGTGCTCTTATTTGAGCTGCTTCACTCTCTATTAGCAATTAAATACATCTTAGCAAAGGGGCTTCGGTGTCAGTCTCCCATGTCTTTGCCTGTAAGGCACAGTAAAAGTGCCAAGAACTCAAATGCACAGCAGGCTTACTCATTCTCTGGTATAATATCCATTTATTTTATCTATATCTATAAAATAYTGTTTATATATATAATAATAGATAGGATAAAGGCAAATAGGTAGAGAGATTGATCATCTCATTGATTGTTTTGGTCAAAATCATATCCCCATAGGCATGAGTCTCCAAAAATGCTTTCTTCCTGAGATGAAAACTGTGCCCAAAGAATTCTCAAATCTTGTACCTTTCTATCAACAGTACCCTAACAGCATTTAGGAAAAACAAATCAGCATTTAAAATTCCTGACCAGCCCTAACCTGAGCATATATTTTTTTAGAAGAATGAATAGGCTAAATAAAAGGGGCAGAAAGTTTCAATATCGGTAATGATACTTGTTTGTGAGTTACCAACAATGCAGAAATAAGTGATTTATGCTTATTTGTGCTTATGAAGCAAAGTTCTAACAAAATGATTTTCAGTCTTTTTTTTTTTTTTTTTTTTTCTAATCAATAGTTCTTTTCTGGAAAAAGAAATCCATGGAATATCCTCTATTCTCCACTGTTTTGTGATTAAGAGAGAACACATGGAAAATGTGTATTTTTCATTAATATAAGCATAACAAGCCATATTTTGCAAAGATCATAGTTTTACTGTCAGAATTACATTTCAGAGAGGGAACTTTTGCTGTTGGAGGACAGTTATATTTTTTAAGGTTTTTCATTATGTATGAAATATATATATRTGGAGGTGGCTTGTGGGGGACCAATGTCACTTCTACTCACATTGAAAGAAGATGAGACAAAGGAGGGAAGAAAATGCACTTACTGGCAGAGCTTGCAGCCTTGCTGAGCACAGGAGCGTTGTTGCTCTTACGGCTCAAAAACACAGCATCGACTCCTTCTGGAAGAGGCAACAAATCAGAAAACATATATTTTACATATATTTTGGAAATAATTCTTTTTTTAAAAAAAAAAAAGACTTGTTCTTGGCTTTCTTTAGAGTCAATCTGACCATTGACTGAATATTCACAGGAAAAAAATCACCTTTGCTCAACTCTGAGAATTAATAGTACTAGATGGAGAGCAGTGTAAAAGCCCTGAGCCAAGTTCATCCTTAAATGCCCACTGTTCACCAGTACTACCTGAAGTCTTTTTCCTTCTTGTTTCTCAAAGTATATCAAAGTATTCTATATTATTCCTGAATGAGTTGTCAATCCCTTTAAACACTCTCTGATAAAGGATGAAGCTTGTAGTAAAAATTCAAACCACAGTCTCTTTTCTGTATCATCATGCAATTCTATGAAGGAAAATTGCATGAAGCTTTTTTTTAAAAAAAAAGAAAAAAGGAAAAGAAATAAAATGAAACAGGCCTTCTATAATGCCACTTTTATGAGTGGGAAACATTTGCCCATCTCTAAAAAGATAATTTATCTTGTTTTTTGAAAACTAAGTAAGAGTTTAATGAGAAACACTTGTTAAACTTAAAACCATTACAGATTAAAGAACAAGTTTTGCTTCTTTCTGGTTGACCCTCTGTAAGCCTCTGAGCAAGCTCAAAAGGGGAACCAACATGTTATTTACTTCTGGCCACTAGATAATGCATCTGGAAGATGTTATCGATAATCACTTTGCCACTAGCATGTAATTTGAGGAAGGAAGAAATAAAGGTCCAGAAACTCTATCAGCACAGGAGAGCTCATGTGAAACCACTGAGCAGAAGGGCTTTTGCAGGACGCCCACGGTGTAAAAACAGTCTGTTCTCCTTAATGTGTCACTTATACGTACGTGATCATTCACTAGAAGCTTTACATATCTCACCAGAACATTCCTTCTTTGTCCTCAACACATCGCAGAAACTCCCTTCCTATTCTGTTTTTTTTTTTTTTTTTTTCTTAGAATTTACCCTTTGTGGGGTCTTGGAGGGATGGAACAGCAAAGCAAACATGGGCTGGGTTCAACCCTGAGCAGAAAATGACCATTTCAGAACTTCATTGTTCTGACTGCAGTGTTCTGGCATGAGGATCAAAACATCCTTCAAGTCCATCTCCAGACAGGACAYCGCAGAGATGCTTTTCCTTGTGTCCCTGTATATTGTGTGACTGAAAGGCACAGTTGTTGGGACACAAAATTCCACCCCAGCCCACGTGCAGGATTTCCACGGGCTCTGGCTGGACATTTTGCCTCCCTCTAGCATCCTTTTTTTTTTTTTTTTTCCCTGGGAAAACAGGTAGGAACACATTTCTTCCTTCACTTTTAAGTACCACCACAGGGTAGAACTTCAAATTTTAAATCATCATTTTGCACATCACAGTATCTTGCCCAAGCAGTTACATTTTATTTTGGTAGCAAACCAAAAGAAACCCTGTCCAGCCTCTTAGGTGTGGGTCTCATGTTACAGATCTTGCACCAAAACATTACACCAAGACAACATACAGAGGGAAGTTAAGCAGTTAACTTTGGCTCAATATAAWGATTGATAATGTAGCTACTTAAAAATGCTTTTTATTGTCATAAGTCTCTACTATTTTTTWAAAAAACTTTCATCGGGGTAAACAATACATCATACTTAACTTCAGGTACATTCCTGAAGCCAACACTTAGTACAAGTCAATTTTTAATTATGATATTTATACAAAACCTGCAATTTATTTCCCGATTTGGTAAAATACTTTAAACACTAAGTCATAAATATAAATTACATAAATCTCAAGTGACCCTCAAGTCATCAATCTGACTGAATTTCACAGTGAAACATAGTACAACAACAACCCCYGGCTTGCTTTCTGACATCCCAGAGCAGCAAAAATGGCTTGAACAATGATAAACAATGGGAAATTACAGTTTTGTTCCAGACTAGTGTGATTTTAAACTTTTAAATAAATTGCCTATGGTATTTAGAATATATCTCTTAAGAGCTTAGATTTAGGGCAGAGGAAAATGGCTCTGATGTGTTCCATGAACTCTAAAAAAACACTAAGTGATTATCAACCAGTGCACTGTGCAATGAACTCCAACATTTTGAGCTTCAAGTCACCCTGCATGTGAACTTATGCCCAACCTATTCCTATAGAAAATGCTGTTAAAATAGGTTGAAGAATTTAAAGGATGGATTTTATTTTTTTTAACTCATACTTAGTAGAAGGAGTCAAGCCAGGGGATTCARCTTGTATTCTCAGGTCTTCTGCTCACCTGCACTCAGGGAAGGACTTAATCAACGTGTCTCCAGGGCTTTTTTTGCACATAAAATGGTGTTATGATTCCTAGGGTACCAGCTGTGTGAATTAACATCAGTGAAGTTCTGGTGGACTATGAAGAACTACGAGAAGGCAAAATACTCTTATTATTGGTTCTTTCCATCTCTTGATTTCTCTGCCTTTTTCTCCCCTTCACAAAAGTTTGTGGAAAAGATCAGCAGCCATCAGGCAACACTGCAGCATTTCAGGATATTTGCTTAAATGGAATTAAAGAGTAGAGCAAAACGACTTAAAAAAAAAAGGGATGATCAAACAACAGAACTGAACTAGACGCTAACTCCCATCTTTTCTCGTTGCCTTGTTAGGGGATAATTCCCACACACTCCATCCCTGTGTTCTCAGAACTTTATATAATTTTTCTTTCACTTTACAGAATAAGATGTACAGTCTCCACTTTAGTTCATATTTTTTGAATTTCAGATGCTGCTCTCCATATTAACACATCTCACAGGGAAATACATATCCCTTACTATTATTATTCTTATATTAACCCAGTTACATGGTAGCAATAAAATTCCATAATAAGAAATAAGAGCTTTCATTAGACATTCACAAAGCCCTCCAAAGAACAGGAGAAGAACAGATTGTAAGTCTCATAAATCCTGTTTAATTTATTCATAGTGAGAGTCTACAAATCAGACATTTTTATATTCCAGGATATTTATGATAAGATGGTGAATTTATAATAAAAAACCCAGCAATAATTCGATGAGTGATGATAAAATAATAAAGCAGATAATAGTTTTTTATAAATTTATCAAAAAAGTGAAATATGATAAACAATAATGTACCCATTAGCCATTAAATCAAATCTGCAGTGGGTAAGGGCTAGGCTAGCATTTCAAAACTTCCACACTTCTCTGGTCTCCTGAACCAGCTTTGTTGCTTCAGGAGCTGCAATAACATGCCAWTATTTTCCTCTTTTTAAATATTCTCTACATAACGCAGATGTGTGATTCCATATGTCACATGCATTTTCAGTCTCTGGAAAGGTGTCTAGGTTTACATCCCTAAGAGAAAGAGAATTGTCTGCTGAAACTCTCCAACCCAGCCAACATCATTGGAGACATTTTGGTGTCTTCAAATATATTTTAAAAGCTCTAAACTGCGTGAACCACATCATTGCTCTTGTTCAGCCCAAGTGCCCTTGCTATCAGAAGCAGTCAGGTCATCTAATGCCTTTCTGAACCTAATCAAATCCATCCTAGAACTCAATTTTCTGTTCCTGTTTCTCCAAATGATCTAGATCTTTGCTTCCTAGCATATAAAAATCTCCTATTTTCCGCTCTAAATTTGTTCCTTGACATTGTTCCTATTGCCATCATTCTCATTATCCTTCAGTTTATGGAGCTTCTTCCCTCCCTGACGTAGGCAGTGGCAACACAAAATGATTCCTCATCCTCCCTTTTGCCAGGGTATGCAAATTAATTTTAATCTCTAATTATAAAGCAAGCTCTTCATTCCCCTGATTACTCTAATAGCCATTCCCTCAGCTTATACAGGCTTGAACACGTGCACAGGGATCCAAATGAGGTCTGCACAACAGCATTAATTCAACTGTTGTACTGTATTTTTAGCACTGAAAGTACCAGCATAGGGGGAACATTGGCCCTGTGATCTATATAGCTTATAGTCCTTCTCTGTTTTGTATTGACGCAATTCTATTGTTAATTCTCAGGATTACTGATGGGCTGCAGTGCCCTTGACGTTGGCACCTCTCATTTGCATGTGAACACGTCTTGAAAAGGTTTTGGGTGATAACTCTAGATAAAGGTGTTGGAGATCTGCGCACAGGCAGCTCAATGGCATTTGCAAGAGAAAGGAGGCAAACAAATGTGTGGCAATAAAAGAAATTCTGGGAGTCAGCTAGAACGGTAAAAAAGCAGAAATCCAGTAAATATCAGTCTTCTGAGATAATAGCTTTCACCATTCAGCTGTTCTTCTCCAGTCGCTTATCTAAAGCCTCTGTGGCACACACTGATGAGAGGGAATTTGACCTGCGGCATCTCCCGGGAGAAAGCAATGTAAACTCCAGGCCTACTTTTCAACCTCTTGGCAGTTATGAATGCTTTTTGTTGATCATACAGATTAGAAATCAGGCAAAACTGTACTTTCATACCTGGAAGGAAGGTTCTGATTTACAGTATTTCTGTTTATGAAATTTGTTACTTCTCTTCAAAATTGTTTGTTTCTCAGCAGATASATGTGGATTTCTTTCTATATCTATGAGGATGAGTGTAGGATAGATATGATGGCAAACACTGCATAATTTTTACTTGCATGAATTGCAGAATGAGGAAATTCACTTGCCCCTTTCAGGAAGTCCCAACTGATCTCTTTTGCCTTTCTCTTTCCTATTTAAGTCCTTGAAACCCTCCAAAAATGAAAATGCAAAGGCAGACCCCTCTGGTTCCTGTTTCAAAGCAGCTTACAAAATTGATGGCAAATCTTTCCATAGCTCTGTCCTTCTTCTTCCAAGCATTCTGATGATTCTTTCCTTCTCCAGGAGAGAGAAGGCATCCAGCCCGAAYTGTAAAAAGTCAGTGCAGTGGATAACACACAGCATCACTTTCAAACCAAGCTATGTTTTTCCTCTCTTTACTTCTTAGCGGAATGTGGTGTCTACATGTATAAATGGGACCAAATC